TTTTTGTTATTGTTTCTTTTTTCCCACTTTCAGGTGAGGGATGTACGACTGATCATGGACAGGAATTCTAGACGGTCAAAAGGAGTTGGGTATGTGCATTTATATGAAACTATATTATAGTCATGTGTGTGTACTTCGTAAGATAATTGTTTGCATATCATCCTTTTAGAATCAAGTTTAACTGTATTCTTAAATGAACTAGCAATGCGATAATGATGAGGGATGGTGGGAATACCTTGCACTCATGTTTAATCAATTCATGCTGCGTACTCAAGGTAGACGACAAAAACCTAATTTTTATCGTTTCGCGCTTTCTTCCTCTTCGTGTTTCCTGCTATAAGGGCCCCGTTCTGCATCCCAGTCCACCTTTTCAAATTCTTCATTTAATGGTCCTCCCATTCTGTTGTGGAGATTGGTAATGACTTGCTGGAGTTTATTTATGATAGCAGATTTTCTGAATGGTAAAATTTTAAGTGGGTAGCGCGAGTGGACAGTTTTATCTCAATTTCCTTTGGTTCTGATATTTCATAAGTTCTAAGTCTGGTTGACATCTTATTGCTCTTTCAAGTCCTAGTTAAGGCTTATCTGGAAGTTCACTGTTAATTTTCATGATTGGGTTTTCATTATCAAACTTTAGCTCATATGACTGCTTTTTTATTTTCCCATGTACCCTATCCTATTAGTGTTTTCTTGTAGATCAATTTTTAATGTAATACTCATGTTTTTTTATTTTATTTTATTGTGATGAGCTAACATTTTCTTTTATATGAGTCATCAGATTCATCAAAAGAAATTCAGCTTGAGCTCTCTGCCCTAGAGTTTTTGTTTCCCTACATCTCTTTGATATATGCTTTGTAAGTTTTGATTGCAATACTTAAGGTCTTGTATGTTCCATCAAACTTACTGTGTAGGGCCCTTGATACTGCAGGTATATTGAGTTTTATGATGCAATGTCTGTGCCAATGGCTATAGCTCTCTCTGGCCAACTACTTCTAGGACAACCTGTAATGGTAAAACCTTCAGAGGCTGAAAAGAATCTTGTTCAGTCCAACACATCTGGTGGGGCTGTAGGCGTTGCAGGACCATATGGTGCAGTTGATAGGAAACTGTATGTAGGGAACTTACATTTTAACATGACTGAGACTCACCTTAGAGAGGTAATTGCTACTTGGTTTGTCATCTATGTTTAGTTTTCTAAATATATGTTTACTTTTATGTGTATATAACATAAGCAACTGTCTGGCAAGAGGGCATTTCCCTATATGGACACGCATATATGCATGTGCTCTCTGTGTAGGATGCCCTGTCTTTCTTAAAGGCAGGATGTGTTGAGAAAACCTCACTTCTATTCAATTTTCTTCAGCTTCGGTTCCATTTATTATTGACAGTGTTGATTATTTTGGGCATATATTGGTCCCTTAGAGTTTCAATTTTAGGTTTTAAATTGAAGCAAAAATTGAAGCGACTAATCGATCCGAGACTAGAAACCTTAAGTTTAAGCTCTAAATAATGAATCTACACTATGAAACAATCAACCATGTCAATAAACGGGACTACTATAAACTAGGAGTTGTTAACAGTATTTTTTTATCTTCAACTCTCTTATAAAATTAGTTATTTCCTCACAATATTTTTTATTTATTTATGTTGAATGCTCAGATTTTTGAACCATTTGGTCCAGTGGAACTCGTGCAACTTCCCCTTGATCTTGAGACAGGACAGTGCAAGGGGTTTGGCTTTGTTCAAGTCAGTGATTACTTCTCATTTTCTGTTTAGAAGATTATTATGTTGGTTGGTACTTATTTATTTGTTCATTATGTTTATAGTTTGCTCATCTAGAACATGCAAAGGCAGCTCAAAGTTTGAATGGAAAGTTGGAGATTGCAGGTCGAACTATCAAGGTAGGTTTGCATTTTTTATTGTAGATTTGTAGGGAAGTTGGATATTACAAGTTTCTAGAGGGAAATGATAGCTTTAATATTTGCAATTACCTGTCAGTATATCTGTTTGTACCTTCGTAACGAATTATTATTATTATTTTTCTTTTGTTAATATCCCATGTTAACACAGTTATTGGACACTATGTAGGTTTCATCTGTTACGGATCATGTTGGATCACAAGAGACTGGAGCAAAATCTGCAGACTTTGATGATGATGATGGGGGTGGTTTGGTGAGTTTCAATCTTTTCATTATGTTGATGAATGTTAGTACGTTCACGTATATTTTAAGCACTAATATTGATGTTAATGGAATAACCGAAGGTTGAAAAATATAAGTATTGACAAAATATCAGTATTCAGACTAAATGATGGAAATTTTGAATGAAGTATTCTGAAAGAGCATAAAATACTTCCAGTAATTGTTAAAAAGAAGGGAACA